AGATACTTACCTGAGAGTTTATGCTGATTATTGGTTACCTATTGGTACGCGCTGACGAGCGCTGGTGACTTGAACTCTTATTGCTCTTGTAATACGTTCTGGAAAAGATAAGCTGCGCTACCTGGTCTTCATCTCTCTGGTCTCCAGTGTGAATTTCGTGTGAGCTCATACATGCATGTGGTGTGAATATGTGCACTCATTGGTGTTGAACTAGGAGGTTCATTGCACTTCCAAATCTTTCGCACTATTGAATGTCCAAGCTCTTGGGCGGTTGCAAAAGCCTAGAGAATAAGCAAAATAGATATTGTATGTGTCGTTTATTCACAAGGCTCTGTGATACATCGAGTTTAGGGGTTGGAGGCTATCAAACGAGTCGAGAGGAAACTGTGCACTGAGGGAGACAGACCCCTCCAAAAATGATGAGTTGAGAAGGACGAGGCGTCGTCAGTTCACGCATATGTACTTATGTGTCTTGTATGTGTGTGTGCATATGCATTTTTAAGTGTGTGTGTGCATCAGAGAGTGAATATGTATTCGAACATGGATGCATGTGTGCACGTGAGTTTCTAGTACTTCCTACCAAGCTTCTATGCTTGGTTTTACGTGTGGATATGGTTGTGTCACATGTGTTTTTCATGAAGTTTGTACCAAAGGAATGCGAAAACATTGTGCACGTACACAAATTTGGTGTTCCACTTAAACGTATGTCTTATCCATCAAGTTGGTGGCTATGAAATCTTTCTGCAAGGCTGGGGATGTCTACTGGTGGTTTAAGTCCGCGAGGTAATCTTTGGTTAGAACCAGAACACTCGGTTCGGTCCGAACAAGAATTCCGACCATGGTCGCACAGACCGGTACCAGGGCGTGTTGGCGTGTGGAGGGTAGTAGAGTAGATAGGGGGGGAAACTAGGATGGTAGAATAGGTTTCAACTAGGATACTTGTGGAAAGAGGATGTGGTTATGAGTTAGGCCCTCATTCGACACCACTAAGGAATCCTTACTTTGTAAGGGCGCCCTTACGGCGAGAACGTGATTAATTTTCCCTTACCCCATTTTTCGTTCCACAACCACTTACGACAACCCTACACTTAGGCGCACTTACGTTTCAGGTGCCGCTGTTTCCGTTCTTCACACTGCTCAGCGGTATCCGAATATCAGCCTCGCAGCCCTGCCGGACGAAATCATGTCCGCGAGGGTTGGGCCCATGGGACGGACACTAGCCATTGGGTTATGACGAGGCCTTGCGGGCCCGTGTAGTGGGCGCGTGACGTCATCGACCCACGAGATGGAGGTGTGTGCGGTCCCCCAATTTGAATTTAAATTCCACGCCCGCGTTTTGGACAGCGCAGACGCCAGTACTCCAACGTTGCACCGGCGCAGCTGAGGTAGTGTGGTTGCCGTGTAACGTACGTCTTTGCAAGGGTCTTCAGCTATGGAAGGTGGCGCAAGGGACGAGGCGGCAAAGCGGAGACTGTCAACCCGTGACAAGACCATGGTCGCGAGTGTCGTCCTCGCGCTCTGTCGGTACATGGAGACATTGAATGGACTTCGGCGGGCGGGTGGGAGGGGGAGGGGGAGGGGAAGGAGGAAGGCTGCCATAGCCCAGGCATTGGCAGACATCTGCACCTTGCCTGGTGTGTCGGACACTCCTTTCTTGCTCTCCAACCCCATTATCGCAGGTGTCTTGTCGAGGGACACACCGTGGTGGTGGATGAAAAGACGGACCGACGAGACTTGGTAGGACTTGAACATTGCAGACGATGCCATTGAAGACTACTTCCACAACAAACTTTGAATGTCACAGAGCATATTCAACGACATCGTCGCTGCGTGCAGTCCGTTCATCAAGCGTAAACTCACTCACTACCAAGAGCCTTTGCAGCCTGACCTCACCGTCACCTTTGTGCTATAAAAGGGGGCTTCTGGCAAGACATTTGAGAGCGCGTCTTCGAACTTTGGCATTGGGAGGTCGTCGAGATTGAAGGGTATCATGGACATTACAAACACGATATTGGTCGCATATCCTGACAAGATCGCCATACCTACTGGATGTCAGCTGTTGCGGTTGACCTGAGCATTCGGCGTGAAGGGATTCCCTACCTGCTTTGGCGCCTACTGTCTGAGAATTGCTTCGATCGAAAACAAAGTTCTCGTTCAGCGCCGAAATTGTTGTGGATGCGGACATGAGGATTCTTGATGTGTTCAGGGGCTACCCAATGAGCATCTATGACCAGAAGGTGTTGAGAAACACTTCTCTGTTTCGACACGCGGAGGCGGGCGAGCTCTTTAATGCGGAAGCACTGCAACTGCCAAGAGGGGTGTTGACAACGGGGTATTTGCTCGGGGACAACGACTACTCTCCAAGAACGTGGATGGTCGTCCCCTACAGAGATTGCAATCAGACAACCAATGTTGGCTTGTTTGACACCTGACAGAAGACAAGGAGAGGAGAATGTTGTCTCCCCCCCCCCCCCCCCCCCCCCCACACACCATCGACCAGATGTGGCCAATACGCTTGTTTTCGCCCTACCCTCGCTGAGCCTGGCCCGTACCAGCCTCCGCCCATCACCCGAATATCACCAATATCGCCTGGAAGTGTCGCCAAGCCTTCGTTGAAGAATCCTCTTGTGATTTGTTTACATTAGTTAAACCACCAGTACCTACCGGTTGTTAAGGCCCGTGGCTCAGGCTACCGGTAGCCCGGTCGTTCCCGAGCCTCGGACTTTATTGCCGAGCCTCAGACAACCGGTAGGACACAACGGAAAAAAAAAAAAAAAAAA